ATTAATAATGAAATAACTTTCACATTTTCTTACTTTATAAGTTTTCCACAATTTTGTTGTTGTTAATTCTTGCTGCTCTTGCCATTCCTCTTGCTGTTCCTCTTGCTGTTTCTCTTGCTTTCCCTTGCTGCATATGAATACATTGTAATTATATATTTTATCTTGCATAAATGCAAATACTTTATTCAATACGGAACGAACTAATTTTTAAATTATTTTACCTTATTAATCTTGAAGACTGCTGCTGCAACTGCTAGCATTCATTGGACGTGCATCAGCAATTTCCGCCATTATATTTTCCATGGCGTTGTCTCTTTCGACGTATTGCTCTTCAATTTTCTGCACGTGCTTGCAGAATCCTACCCAGTCCTCTGTTGTTACGTCATCAATTGCTTTTTCAGTTAAATTTATTAATTCGGGGGCTGTAAGTGTGGACGTATTATTCTCCCGAATAATCCTCTTTACTTTAGCCCATGTCAATTCAATGGGATTTAATTCACACATATAAGGTGGCAATCTAGGACATTATGTCCATGGCTTTTAAATAACTCGTCCACCTTATACGTTTTGTCCAGACTTTTATTCCTTTGGATTAATTCCGCCAGTTGATATTTTTTCATGGTGGCTGTGTGTTAGATATTATTCTCTTCTAACCACTTTATCATGTCTGATTTTTTTCCGTATGCGGTTGGTGGTTTATTTATTTGTACTGTCACGTCCGGAAAATTTTATGAATTTGTCCGCCTCACGTTCCCTTATCAAGCCTTCGGGTTGTAGGAGTCTCCTCGTGTAAGGGGCGTGGGGAGGGCGAATTACTTCTGCACCTTTCTTTAATTTCTCCTTGACTCTGTGCTTTCCCATCAAGCCTTCGGGTTGTGAGAGACTTCTTCATGTGGGAAATGCGCAGGGAAAAGTTTGAGCTTATAATTATTCTACTTTTGTCTTTTCTATCCTTTCACTCTTCTTATACTTCTCAATTCTTTTCTTAGTTAAAACCCCTCCTTGAAACTATCGTCGTGCTCAACTGCGTAGTAACAGAAACATGTGATAGAAAAACTCGGCTTCGACCGAGGAGAGGTATTATAAACACCGTTCGCGGCGCGGTTAGCCAGTGTTTCGCATTGTAGGGGTCTCCTCAGGCTAACTGCGCAAAAGCGCAAAGATTACGTTATTGCCGAAATTAATATCGATACTCTCCTCTTTTTCACGCGCCAGTCGGTCCCTAACCCGATCGCGTGTATGAATTGATTGCTGGAATGAGAACGCAAAGCAATCTAGCTTGTTGAATATTTGTATGAATGCGAGAGCGAGGAATGAGAACCCTTGCAGGCAAATGTTAGCAAGCGTTCGAGGACTGTTTAGAGGCAAAGGGTCGTACGGGGCAATAAAAGTCTTTGTATCGAATTCCGAGAATTTGCCTGAAACCGAAAACCTAACGGTAATTTTCGAATGGCGAGAACGTTCTCGAACCAACTACGTCGCAAATGTAGTACCGAATATTCGATTAATAATGGAAAACTGTCGTTATTGAAAATTGCGATCGAACACCGAATGCCTTATACCGAGCGTACCGGCGCAATTCATATTGTTGATCGAATTCTTTGCGAACATAATGATTATGGAAGGACGATTGTTAATTAAGAAACCTCGTGACCACCGGTTTCATTATTAATACGCAATAGTACTACGGATGATTCAATTACTTGCAAATTATTGTTTAATAGTTCTGATTTAAATTACTAGTTGATAATCGCATCATTTACTATCTAATATCGAAATTATCGAAAGCATGGAACAATCCAGAAATTCTACGGCGTAGAAACACCGAAAAGCCGTTAGACAGAGAAGGAACACCAAGAAAGAGAGAAAACATGATCTAGAGGAATTTAGCTGGCACGCGCGCTCGACCAATAGAAACGCACGCGACGTCGTCGTTACGCGCTGTGATTTGCCGAAATGTCCCCACGCAGGACATCGTCCTCGCGACGGGCCCTTCCGGCTAGGATCGCGATCGATTCTGATCACTCTTCGTCGAACAATCGAGTAAGTCGTGACGGGAGCCCGTGCGTCTAGAGATAGAGTTGTCGTTTGTACTTCGTTGTAATTTAGCTGCGCGGCAAGTCCTACGAATTAGGCAGAGTGTCGCGAGAGTGAAATTCCGAATACGCGGCAAGAACTCAGAGACGCGCACGTAAAGCCTTTTCACACTACTAAATTTCTATCTTTTCTCTTTCCTTTTAATTCGTTTGCTCGCGTAATTTTCGTATTAAATTCACTCGCGTTTACTATTAAATTATTTCGTAAAAGCGTAATCGTCTTGTGTTTCGTCTATTAAATTTTGCAATAAACGACAACCGGGCGCGCGACAAGTGTAAGTGCGGCACCGATCTCTCAACTTTCTTGGTGTTCCAGATTCTACAGCGATTTTCAACGATCTTCCAACGAATTTCAAAACGATTTTATCGTATATTATACTCTACATTCTCACGGTAAGCCTGTTCAGTACTAATTTGTCGAGCACGGCATTATAATTGATTTTCAACAAGGCAAAACGGGCGATCTATTAAGCCTACGGGTTATGAGAGTCTCTTCATTTTAGATCGTCTCGTTTTCACGTTCAGGTACCGAATCATATAATATACATTTTTGATATATTTGCATTTTCAACTATCGCAATTTTGGGAGACGATTGCTTCGATTTCAAAGCTTTATCAGGGACGGCCTGTAAAGCCCTTTCGGGGGTTGTAAGAGTCCCTTCATTCAGGTCGTTTCCTTGCGGGCAGACACCGCCAACTTTTCATTTTCCTATTTAGTCGAGTCAGTCGTCTAACATTAAAATTTCAACTACAATCCGTTTAAAATCACGTTTATAAAATAGGTTAAGCATCTTTACCCTTGTTAACCAGTATTGTTCTAATTTGAATTCATTTAACGGTAATTATCAGTCTTTAATAGAATCTATCAGTATTCATTCAATAGTCATTTCAAATTCAGTTTCTGTTAGCTTCACTATCCAATAATCATTTTGAATTAAAATTACTTTCTTTTTGCACGCTAAATTGCATTAACATTTCTTTCAAATTCCATCTGTATCATTTCCTTTATCATTTTACATTTCAAATCCACGCACCCCAACACAAGGTTTCAAGGAGGGACCCGTATGGGACCCAGAGCACTGACGAACCCAACGGAAATCATCACTATCTAAATTTTCCGTCTTTTAATTTTGTTCTGACCGTAGAGGACGCTTTCGCGTCATACGCGGTCAGAACTGGTGGCAGCGATACCTTTCTCATCGCCCAAAAATAAGATTTAATTTATATATTTTTTTGCGTTGCGCGCTCTCGCAACGCGCAACGTAACAGTATCGTGTGGTACGGAGCATTAACCATTATAATGACTGATTGAGAGGGGATTTTAGGTAGCAATTTTTAGCTTACCCACTTCTCAAAATTGAAGGCATTCATCTGCCCGTAGTAGTCCCGCGTTGTACTGCGAGCTTTAAAAATCAAAGCAGCACCTTTCACAAATCCTCCTTCGCCACTCGCATGAATAATTATGTAACGGTGGTGTTACGAGCCGGAAGGGGTGGCTGCGTAGCCGGGGCTAAATCTCGGTTATGGTATTTGTTAATGGCTTGACCAGTGTTGTTATTAACACTGGGAGCCTAAGGAAGTAGGCGTGGCTCCACCAGTACACAATTACAGTTTTAAACTAAGAAAAACAAGAAGCTGAAAAGTACACAGCATAGTTATGCACAACACTGAACGCTTAACTGAAACCGCTTGTCTCGTTGCTTTCCCAAATAAAACTGAACGGTGTTCTGGAAAAGTGAACCGCCAAAATCGGTTTGCCATACTTTTATTGCCTTTTAAGGGTTTGTAGACAAAAGTACCAAAAACGTGTCGATCTATTCCGTAGTTGTTAACCGATGGCTGGTTATTTGAAAAAATGTAGAGTAGCGGCGCATGGGAACCGGACGGCGCGCGATGGTCTGCTGGCAGATCATACGTAGCAATAAAATTTTATAACTCCGGCAATTCTGTGTGTTCCATTGTCACGTAGACAGACCGTTTTTATCAAACGTGTCTCCTTTCAAATAAGCTTAAACATCTGGAAAGGAAAACTCTCGGGCAAACCGACCATTTACTCTCATAATAAACAGAAGGCCCACCGATAGCAGAACCAAACACTTGGGAAAGCAATGGGTCCGCCGTAATCAAATAGCAGATGCAACCACTCTAAACTGTCGCAGAGGCAGGTGGACCCAGCCTGATCACTCGAATAGTAACCAGACCACCCTTCTTAATTAGTATATAAACCCGTTCGTACCAACGATCGGGGGCAGTACCAGAGTTCATCTCGTGTCGAGCACGACGTGTACGGTAGTGAGTTGGTTACTATTAGTGAGATCGGGTTGAAGTCCCCTTCGAGCAACATTCACCTTATAGAATCCGCGAGTCGTGTTTCTATTTGGCATTACAATCAACCACACACAACACCCGCGCATTGCCAGTGCGTGAACACCGAGCATAGTGGAAATAGGTAATATATCACATTATACACCTATATTCGCGACAACAACATCTGTAATAGACCAAGATTGTAGAATATATACATTGCTGTGTCAAACCCACATTAGCATTCTCCTTTAAACCCAGTGAAACCTTGTGACAGTTCCTACCACAATACAATCTTACCGCTCGGGTTGTATTGATAATAAAATAAGTTACGCGGCCGCCAATCAGAAAGCCTCTGATAGCCACGCGCGCTGCCAACTCGTCGGCCACGTAACAGAACTGGTGACAGCGGTGGGATATAGTCACATAGATCATTTTCACTGGCATAATTACTTTCGTGGAATTTGACACACGGCTATTACTTTGTTGAACAACGATTGTATACTAGTTTTCCTAGTCACATTCTTTAACCAACAAATTCATTCAACATGGCGAATGAACAAGCCAATATTTCTTCAGCCGATCTTATGAACTTAACAGTTTCGATCGCAAATTCTATGACACTTTTGACACAAAGATCCTGCATACAAAATGTTGCGTTAACAATACCAACATTTGATGGTGAGAATCCACCTTTATCACGTTTTGCACAACTGGTAGAAGATGGATTGACCTTGATTCCTGAGGGAACAGAAAGGGAATACCTTACAATTATTTTAACTAAACTCACCGGTCCGGCGCGAAGAAGTACTTTAGAACATCAATTCACTTCGGTATCCGCGTTGATCAAGCATTTGAAGAGAAGATTTGGACCAGGAAAGAGCTTATCGCAATTTCAAACAGAAATTGCCAGGCTTCAAATTAGGGAATACGAAAGTTTGAGAAACTACATCGATAGAACAAGCCATCTTGTTTATTGTACAAGAGGAGCGATTAAAGAGAAATATCCTAGACATTCAGAGGAAAATATTAAACAAATGGAAATGGATATTTTAGAAAATTTCCTAGATGGATTACCAGACCGCATCTCTTTTAAGGTATCAGCACAAAATAGAGACATTAAAAACTTAGAGGAAGCTTTTGACGCTGTGCTAGAGGTAGACAGGAAATTAAGAAGTCGTCGTGATTTGGCACGAAACACATCACCAGGAGGCTGGAACAACAGGGATCACCACAGCAACGAACGTCGAAATGAAATTTCATACCCTCAATCTCCAACACGACACGATCGATATAGAGATCGACAGAGGAGACCATCTAACTCTGAAGACGAGAGAGAAGGACGACCACGTACATCAGCATGGACTGTGCGATCCAGGAATCAATCGAATTCACCTTCTTATCGTTCAAATTCACCACGCACAGATCAAGATGAAAAACGGTTTACAGTTTTAAAACGCAGTGAAAAGGATGATACTTCGCAGCTATATTGTTGGCGATGTGATACCCAAGGACACGATGAAAAACGTTGTAGGAGGAATTCGCAAAATTTCAGACAGCGATCATACTCTCGAAATTCTTCAGTCGAATCAAACAAGTCTTTAAACTCAGAAAACGCTCAACGGAAAGGCGAGGCGGTGAGCGATCTGCAAAGACCTCGCCAAAAGATAGTCAGATTCACGGGAGAATCCTCATCAAGGAAACCCCAGCACCAAGAATAAAAATCAAAGTTCCGGAATTAGAATTAGAAACAGCTGAATTTTTAATTGACGGTGGCGCGGCAGTTAACTTAATAGTGCGCGATGTTCTCGGAGATCAAGCCAAACGTATCACTAAAGAAGTTATTGAAATCACAGGACTTACAAAATCACCTATTTATAGCATAGGAACCACAATTCTTCACATTCACGGTAAGCCTGCATTATTTTACGTAGTAGAGAACCTTGCAATAGAAGCCGATGGAATTATAGGCAGCCCATTTTTATTACAAGAAGAAGCAGAAATTTCATATTATCATGGAACACTAGTATTGAAAGATAAACCTATTCGACCACTTCGTTTTTCAAATTACCGAGATTTAGCTCAGCAGAAAAATCCGAAATCGACTAAACACCGTATCGAAGCTCGAACAACAAAACAAATTGCAATTCACATAGCTAATCCAAATATTAAAGAGGGATACTTACCGCGACTCAAAACATCAGAAAATATATACATTGGCGAAGCAGCAGTATATAATCGTGACGGCATTTGTTACGCGTTAGCAACGAATACCGGAGAAGACGATGTAGACATCGAAATTGAACCTCAATACATTCATCCTTACGATATTTACGACTCGTCGGACGACGACCCAATTTCTTCATATATGACCGAAAACACACCAGAAAATAGAGCAACACGAATTAGAAATCTTTTAAGAACCGATCATCTCAATGCAGAAGAACGTAAACATGTATTCAACATCGTCGACGAATTTTCAGACAGATTTTACTTGCCTGGAGACAAACTAGGAGAAGTACCGAATTTTTACCATTCAATTCATACAACAGATGACGTACCGATTAATACAAGACAATACCGATATCCACCAGTACACCAAGACGAAATACAACGTCAAGTAAAGGCTCTGTTATTACAAGGAGTCATACAGCCATCTAGTTCACCATATAATTCTCCGTTATGGATTGTACCAAAGAAACCAGACGCTAAGGGCAATAAGCGTTGGCGTATGGTAATCGATTTCCGAGCCTTAAACGAAAAGACTTTGAGTGATAAATTTCCTTTGCCGAATATCACCGAAATTCTAGATAAATTGGGAGGAGCAAAATATTTCACAATTTTTGATATAGCAAATGGATTTCATCAAGTTCAAATGGATCCTAAGGATTGTCCGAAAACAGCATTCACAACACCGGATGGGCATTTTGAATTTGTACGCATGCCATTTGGTTTAAAAAATGCACCACCGACATTTCAACGCTTAATGAATCAAGTTATATCTGGTCTAGAGAACGCTCATGTATTCATAGACGATATGGTTGTTTTCTCTTCATCACTACGAGAACATGAAATAAAAGTAAAAAAATTACTCAATCGGCTCAGAGAATTTGGACTTACACTGCAGATTGATAAATGCGAATTCTTACGTAAGGAGGTTACTTATTTAGGACACATTTTGACAGAAAATGGTGTTAAGCCAGATCCTCGTAAATTACAAGCTGTAAAAGAATTTCCCATTCCTAAAACACAGAAAAATGTCCAGCAGTTCTTGGGACTGACAGGATATTATCGCCGTTTCATAAAAGATTATTCTATTAAATCAAAACCATTAGTTCAATTATTAGGTAAAGGAATTCGTTTTAAGTGGACCGAAGACCAGCAAAAAAGTTTTGAAAATTTACGCGACGAACTCTGTACACAACCAATTTTACAATATCCGGATTTTAATCGACCATTCATTGTTACCACTGACGCATCAGATTACGCAATTGGAGCTGTACTTAGTCAAGGAGAAATAGGAAACGATCTACCAATTGCCTACGCATCTCGTACCTTAAATAAAGCCGAAAGGAATTATTCTGCTACAGAAAAGGAATGTCTTGCAATGGTTTACGCAGTACAATATTTCAGACCGTATCTTTATGGAACAAAATTCACACTCGTCACAGATCACCGACCGTTAGTCTGGTTACACTCTGTCAAGGATCCGACATCACGACTTATGAAGTGGAGACTCAGACTCTTAGAGTACGAATATCAGGTTATCCATAAAGCAGGAAAGACGAACAAGAACGCAGACGCATTATCACGTAACCCAGTACCATCTTGCTTACCACTTATACCCCGAGATCCTCAAGACCCCGATTACAAGCACATAGGACAGAAACCAGAAATCGACACGGATTCCATAGGATTTCGTGTGCGGCAACTACAAAGGGACAGGGAAAGGAGACCGAAATATCAAGAGGAAAACACTAGCTCTGATGAAGAACCAGCCCGTGGGAAGGTTCAACATTCTCCAATAGCAAATAGACCGAGAGTCTTACCTAACTTATCGCACGAGATAAGTATGCCAGATGAACACATGGAAACAATAAACTTTCATCCGCAAGCAAATTCTACTAAAATCACATCGACAGAAGAAGACGTAAACTTGATTTCATTCGAAGAACCATCAGAAAATACCATTACGGAAAACACGATAATCGCAAACCCGCAACAGGATTTACTTAACCATACACCATTATCACTTGTAACAAATGAGGGAATTTTACAACCACAACCTGTTAACGAAACAATAGGAACGGCAATCCAGCAACCACAGGAAAACTTTGACCGTACCGTTGACCCTTATCCGTTCACACTTCTTGACACAGACACTCTTTCCACGGAGGGAGATGACCTGCGAAGAAAAGTGCAACTTTCACAGACACTTGAGGTTATTATCTCTCCAAACACCCTGACCACCGAGGAAGGTCATTACGCACATTTCATACCTGCGGACTGTAAATTGGTAACCCCCATTGGAAAACTGTTACTGGACACAGAAGCAATAGATTTACAACAGCTCATGTCAAAGAAACCGCAGAAAGGAGACGTAATAGAATCAGCAAATGGCTCATACAAAGTTTACAGTATAATAATATCAGATAATTTTTACGACACCATTAAAAGTGAAGATATACTAAACGGACTACAAACACTGAAACAGCATTTAGATCAAAATCCAATTAAATCATTTAGAATATCAGCAGTCGGAGATTTTCATAAATTACCAACCAATGAATTAACTAAATTAATAAAGGACGTTTTCAACGGTACAACACAGAAAATCATCATATGCAATTGTTCAACGATTACACCATCAGAAGAAGATCGATTACAAATAATTCGCGAAGCTCACGACAGTTTGATAGGAGGACATAAAGGAGTCACAAAAACATATAAACGCATCAGAGCGAAATATCAATGGCCAGAAATGCACAACGAAATACGAAATTATATCAGGAAATGTCCAAGCTGTCAAGAAGAGAAATTAGTTAGAGCAAAAACTCGTCAACCAATGTTAATTACCGATACCCCGATAGAACCATTTGATAAAGTTGCTTTAGACACCGTAGGACCTTTACCTTTAACGCCTAGCGGAAATAAATACATTCTCACAATGCAAGATTGTTTAACGAAATATTGTATAGCAGTAGCAATACCAAACATTAGAGCAGCCACAATAGCAGACGCTTTCGCGAGACATTTTATTGCCATATATGGAACACCACGAGCAATATTAACAGACAAGGGAACTAGTTTTATCGGAAGCTTAATGAAAAATCTTTCAGAAATATTCAAAATCAAACAAATCACAACTTCTGGATACAGACCACAAACTAATGGATCACTAGAACGAAGTCATATAGTACTAACAGAATATCTTAAACATTACATGGATAATTATGAAGATTGGGACCTATTAATACCATTTGCCATGTTTTCTTATAATACTTCCGTACATGAAGCAACAAATTTCTCTCCATATGAATTAATATTTGGAAAACCAGCCCGTGAACCAAGTTCGTTTCCAACTGGCGAAAGGTTAAAATCATATGGCGACTATTTAACAGAATTAATAACTCATACTATAAAAATCCGCAACATAGCAGCCGATAATTTGATTGCCTCCAAGCACCGTTCGAAGAAGTACTATGATAAACATTCCCGACCGGTAGAATTCAATGTAGGCGATTATGCTTATGCATTGCTAGAACCACGAATTAGTAAATTTGATCCACATTATGTAGGGCCATATGAGATCATTAATGTAACAGATATGAACAACATTGTATTGCGAACACCTGACAAAACGATAACAAAACACCAAGATAAATTAAAACACGCTTATTTCCATCCACAGCGGAAAAAACGGAAATAGCGGAAAAAACGGAAATAACGGGAAATCATGATTCCGGCACAACTACTTCTGATACCTCTGGCTCTGGTTATGAGTCAGACAGCGATTAAAGGCGGTTCAAAGGTGTTACCACTGGCGCAATCAACGGGTTTGTTTTACGATAAATTGTCAGACATACGGACATATCAATCGCAATGGCGATTGGTCACGTCATTGGATGTTGATAAATATCTTGCACATGCACCACCAGTAGAACAGATAATTCTGGCCATGAACCAACTTTGCAAAAAACACGGTTTAGAAACTTGCCTCAGCATGGAAGTAGGACCACGATTACTTAAAAGAGAAGAAAACACTATGCAGTATAGGAATCTAATACAAACAGCAATAGGAAACGATGCCTTTCCAAAAAGACGACCATTACGACGCAATGCACCATTTGGATTTATTGGCACAATCAACAAAGCATTATTTGGAACCTTAACTCAAGAAGACGCAGATTTTTACAACCAGGAATTGAATAAGTTATATAAAAATCAACTTGAAATAACGGAACTCAACTCGAAGCAAATACACATTGTGAAAGGGGAGTTTTCAGCCATACATGAAAGATTAGTAAATTTAACACAGGTTACATCTGAGCTGATAAAAGCTGCATCAGAACATTCGCGATTCTTAGAAGAAACTAGGTCCGAAATTGCCCAACTCCGTTTTGAAACAGCTATAAGGGATACCATTTTAGAATTAGAAAGAGGATTGGACGACTACAGCACTAATTTACTATTATTAATAGACGCAATATTATTAGCGAAACAAGGAATAATGCATCCTGCCGTTTTTTCACCACAGCAATTATTGAAGTCAGCATTAAAGATCAAACAATCTTTAACTTATGAATTTCCATTATCTCCAGAAGAATTATTAACTGAACAAATCGAGAAACTAACGAAATTAAATGTAGTATTTGCAAAAGGCAGAGTATTATTTGAACTCACCATACCGCTTTTGGAACAAAAGGTGTTCAATTTGTATAAAATCTATCCTTGTCCATCAAAGCAGGTTATTAAAGAAAAAGAAGTAGTTACGTACATACAACCACAAATTTCATACATTGCAGTCACTACAGATGAGCAGCAATACTTTTTACCTACCGAGGAATATCTTGGAGTTTGCCGAGTTCATAATAATCAGTTAATAGGACCATCAACATTACCATTATATCAGGTAGAAGGTCATGCAACCTGCGAATCTACCTTGCTTTTGAACCCATCCGCCATAAACTGGGAAACCTGCGATGTAAGGGTAACCACCAAGCTTCAACCATTCTGGCAAGTGTTAAGCGCTCCTGCTACCTGGTTTTTCTTTATGCCAACCCATAAAAAGGCCCAGGTATATTGTAAAGGGGAAAAACCAACTATAGCAAACATTTACAATACTGGAATTTTCAACCTCGAACCGGGATGTAGAGCCACAGTAAATGCGATGCAATTAAAAGCAATGGACACAATAGTAACCATGGAAAATATTATTCATTACCCATCCGCGTCATACAATTTATCAGTAATCATTCCGAAAATAACAGAACATCACCTATCAGTTTTAGAAACCAATTACACTAATACAGATCAAGTAATCACAAATTGGAAGAACCTTCCGACAGCACCAAACCTAGAGGAATTGGAGCATCGGGCGAAAGAATTGGAACTTCAAGAAATTTCCACAAATCGTATAAAAATATCAACATTTTCCTCGTTTGGAGTAGTATCTTTGATCCTACTATTAATAATTGGGACAATAATAAAAAGTAATATACACAAAATCATTAATAAACTAAAACCTTTGGACAAACCGAACGAAATTGAATTGCAACTGGAAGAAATACCTAAAAACTCAGAAGAATCAAATTCAAATAATATAAATTTACCAAGGGAAAAATCTTCAGCACCTAGACCAAGTGCCACAATATTCTAAGGGGCCGTAGCCACTCCTACACATCCCTCCTCTAAGAGTCGAAATAAGAGTGGGGTAAGATAAGGGTTTTCAGACTATATAAGCAGTTCTCGGCACCATAGTCTCATCAGTAGACATCCTCAAGAAAATGAACACCATCAAGAATATAGTTTTGAGCAGTTCTGTTCGGATCGGAATTGTCCACGTGGACAATCCGGTAGAATTCTGGGCGCAGGTGGACGACGGTCGGGAAGAAGCTAGGCGACTGTACCGGGACCTGTATCGGTACATGAGCGACCGCGGCCACCTCCACTTTCCAAACCAGGGAAGACTGACCACTGGACGTCTGGTGGCGTACAGAAGTAAAGAAGGTACTTGGGTCCGAGGAGAAGTTCAACACCTGGTGGACGGCCAGTTCGAGGTGGCTCTTCGTGACCACGGCAAGGTGGTAAGGGCACCGGTCGACCAACTTCGGACCTTGCCGCCACGCTTTCAAAATCTACCGTGGCAGGCCTTCAAGGTACGGGTACGGGGTATCCGCCCTGTATGCAGGACCTGGAAGATAGAGCAGGCCAAGAGGGTGTTGGAAGGAAGGAGGGGTCTGCTAACCAACATCAGAGGCGAGGGTGAGGTCGTGGCAGATGTAGCCCTCGATCGTCTACCAGGACAACCACCATTCAACGTGGCGGAGGCGTGGTTGGGCATGAGATACGCGGTTCCAGGCCGGGTATAAAAGCAGACCACAACACCATTCTTCCAAAACACTTATCTGAGCGGACCGAAATGTGCTACATCAGGGAACAACCAACTGAGAGGGACACCAGTCGCATCGAGCTGCTGATGAACTTGACGGCCCGCCTGTGCATGCGCAGCACTTGCTACAGATTAGACGTTGGCATTGTCTGTATGCAGTATGCTCTCGAAGCAGCCCTTGGAGCAGCAAGGATCTATGACATGGTGGAGGTACACTATCCACTACCAACGGCATATCCGCCTGGGGCCTGCGATATTTGCAGCGCGCCCCTGATGGAGTTGCAGGCCGCCTACCACTGCGAGGAGTGTATTGCCGCCATCATCATGGAAATGGAATACCAAAGAGCAAACCAACCCATACCACCGCCTGCAATAGTACCAACCTGGTACACTGAGAGACAAATCCGATCGAGGCAGCCTGGACCCAGACGTACGCTTCGACTTCATACCGCAGTTAGCAGCATCACCAACCATCACACGTAGCGATAAGTACACACACATCACACATAACACCCGACATATTGCATTACAACACCAAAACTTCAACACATTCTAGTGAGTGTTTTCCTTTCCAATTGAAAGCATCACGATTACCGCGATGTTTCATCTAAGGGGGGAGGTGTCACGTAGACAGACCGTTTTTATCAAACGTGTCTCCTTTCAAATAAGCTTAAACATCTGGAAAGGAAAACTCTCGGGCAAACCGACCATTTACTCTCATAATAAACAGAAGGCCCACCGATAGCAGAACCAAACACTTGGGAAAGCAATGGGTCCGCCGTAATCAAATAGCAGATGCAACCACTCTAAACTGTCGCAGAGGCAGGTGGACCCAGCCTGATCACTCGAATAGTAACCAGACCACCCTTCTTAATTAGTATATAAACCCGTTCGTACCAACGATCGGGGGCAGTACCAGAGTTCATCTCGTGTCGAGCACGACGTGTACGGTAGTGAGTTGGTTACTATTAGTGAGATCGGGTTGAAGTCCCCTTCGAGCAACATTCACCTTATAGAATCCGCGAGTCGTGTTTCTATTTGGCATTACAATCAACCACACACAACACCCGCGCATTGCCAGTGCGTGAACACCGAGCATAGTGGAAATAGGTAATATATCACATTATACACCTATATTCGCGACAACAACATCTGTAATAGACCAAGATTGTAGAATATATACATTGCTGTGTCAAACCCACATTAGCATTCTCCTTTAAACCCAGTGAAACCTTGTGACAGTTCCTACCACAATACAATCTTACCGCTCGGGTTGTATTGATAATAAAATAAGTTACGCGGCCGCCAATCAGAAAGCCTCTGATAGCCACGCGCGCTGCCAACTCGTCGGCCACGTAACACCATCATGAAATTTTCAGGGTATTTAGAAAACTCTTTAAAGATTCTACAGTAAAATTTTTAGAACGATTCGTGCTCCCCCTTGGGGTTACTTTCAAGTTTGAAAATTATAAACATTATTTACAACAATTTGAAGATTGCGTTGACACATGTAGTAATTTTTTTATTAAACTTTGAAGTTTTACCTATAAACTGCCGGTTTATGCAAGTCGATATCTATAATACTTTCCGAGTTATGATTTGTTGAAAAAAAAGTGACCCTAAATTTTCAGTCCTTATAACTTGGAAAGTTTAAACAATATCGAGGAACGGAGCATCGATTTTTTGTTCGTACATTGGGTTCTACCAGCCTACAAAATTTAACAAAAATCCAAGACCATGCGGGAAAAAGTGTGATCACTTTGCGTGGAATGGCCCGGAGACGAACCTACGTATGACTAACGTAGGGAGCTCCAGGAGGTTGGTTATAATGGACGAACCTACGTATGGCTAACATAGGGAGCCACAGAAAAGGTGAAGACGTGAGGACGAACCTACGTATGGCTAACGTAGGGAGCCGCAGGAAATGTTAGTATTAGGTCTCGTAACTTGATCGATGTACCTCGAGCGGTAAAGGTACACCTTATTGTTAGTAGGTTTCTGGACTAGTCAATATAATTGGACAATAGTAGACAAGTTAAAATAATATGAGTTTATTCTCTATTCCGGGACCTTACAATTGTTGTGTGTAATTGTCGCGGTGTTTAATGAATTAAACTCTAAGTTGCAAATTTAAATGAGTTGAATGAATAAAAGTTTAGTTTCGATTCCGCGAAGCAAGAATCCTTCTCGGTTTTGACGAACGCGAGCAAACGGGGGCGGACTACAACGATCAGAATAATGCTTAACAGCAGACAACGTACTGTATAGTTACTGAGTGCTTGAAAGGGACTTGAATACCCGATCTCCGTAAGAGAACGTACTGACGTGCATCGAACTGATTTTAGACTTCAACTAGACCCGAGGTGCCTTTGCCGCCACCCTTTTTATATTCAACAATTAGAGTAAAAAGAGTGGTGGGGACTGACTCTACGTGATCCGTAGGACCGCGCCCTTGCTTTGCGTTGGTCTCGAATTCATATAAAGAATCCGATTCCATATAAAGAAATTTTTGAGAAGGATTTGTAATACCATATAAGGAAATTTCCGAGACGGATACGTAACAGTGGGAAGAACTGTTGTTTTTTAATACGCCAATTTCTTCATTGCTTTACCAGCATTTGCTAAATGATAATGTGTTATCCATCCAAGTTTCATCTAAATATATTATATTTCTTCCTTGTCTCCTGTAGGAATCAATCGCTCTTAAATATTTGTCACGCCATGCAACAATGTTTGATTTCTCTACTAAAATCTTCCTCACATTTGTAGATTTTTTCCATCTATATTCCATTTTATGTAACAATCGTTGTAATGTGCCAAGTTGCCATGGAAGTTGTTCCCGTATAGCGACCAGCAGTTTCGGGCAAGTTGGAATTATCTTCCTTGCATAAAAATCGTGGATAATGCTGCGGATTATCAATTTCTCATCATCGGTACAATCAAACGTTCCCACTGTGCGAAGCCTTTTGTTTTGCGATGACGATGAGGATGATGAGCTTTTACCTTTAATGCGAAACAAAGTTGCGCGTGACACACCGGTATAATTACAGACTCTTGCTGCAGATTGTCGAATACCAAAACACAGTTGTTTATTGCGAGCCTCTTCATCGCACTTCTCGGCGATTCTCTTAATCAATTTACGAGCCTCGCTTCACACTGTCTGACCTTTCTTGCGATTTTCCATACTGATTTTACTTATTTAATTTCTAATGACTAATAACTATAGAATAAAAAATATACACAAAACACTATATAAAAATAGAAAATGACTAATAACTAGAGAATAAAAAAACACACTGTAACAACAGTAAAAAGAAACTTCGCGAAAGCGACGCGGTCTGGAAACGTCCAGACGATTTCGAGAAAGGCGATGATAGAGTATCGCCGGAAGCAGAGACGCGAGCGCGGAAAACGTCAAATTCATTCCTGACGACGAGATCGTTGATTTCGGCGACCGCGGATAGCAACGAGCGGGTATAAATTAAGGGTTCGCGACTGCCTCGATCTATTTCGCCCGCTGTTAACAGAGAGAAAGGACGAGGTAAGACCATCGGCCGCTCTTGGTCAGCAGATTAGGGACTCCGGCAGGAGAGTACGGCGATAATACCTGGACGCCTGCCGGAGAAGAGAGAGAGAGCTCCCGGTAGGAGAATTCGGCGACAATACCTGGACGCTTACCGGAAGAAGAGAGAGTACGGGAGACCTGTTCCTGGGCGCTCGACCGACACGGAGAGTACATCGATAATACCCGGACGCCTGTCGGTCGAGAGAGTACAGAGCATCTCCTGGACGCCCTAGTAGAGTTAGTTTTCTAGACGCCCGTTCGATATGGAGAGTTCGGCGATAATACCTGGACGCCTATCGAACGGAAGAAGTATAAACATGGCACTCTTCGTAGAATATTTTGTACAAATAAATAAAAGAGAAAACTGTATCCTACACCTTGTAACCTCACCTAATCCAATAAATCCTATCTTTTCAACAGATTTCCTTGTATTTTCGATTAACGATGGCTACAACACAAAACATTATATAAAAATAAAAAATGACTAATAACTATAAAATAAAAAAACACAGAAAATACTATAAATATTAAGAAAAAAATAGAACATAACACGAAAGAAAAAAATAATTTTTAACAAAAAATACAACCGATTTCAAAATGCACTAAAAAATATGAAATAATTTCTACTTCATTTATACTGTGACCCGTTCAACGTGGGTGCACTCTATACTCTATTCCAATTTCGTTACAAAATTTTGTTTCTCGCTATAATCCGTTACACTCGGGCGCCAGCCACTCGTGGTGGCAATCGAAATCGAAAAAAGAGAAGGGGGTAGCGCAGGTTCTTACAGGGGATGGGTCTCGGGCACTTACGTCCGTACAATATTCAGCGGGGGAGTACGCAGGGAGGATTGTTGAGGGCTGGGAAAGATCTCAGGGTAGGAGAAAGGGGGTTCACAGGAAGTCCGTGTTACGTTACGCGTGGAAGCTGACGAATCTCGAATGGGGGCTCGCAAAGAAAGACAGGGAAGGTGTTCGTTGCCTGAACTCAAACGATCGTAAGATACAATTATTGTAAAAAGGGCTCACCCACAACACCTCACACACCACTCACACTCTCCCAAAATCGCTTCTATAACTCCGCTCTATCGCACTCTTTACAAAAGTCGCTATCACTCGCTCTCTATCGCCGCTGCGACGACGAGACCGTCGCGGTAAAATTTTGGGGAGGGGATGGGTTTAGGAAGGGGTGTCTTCCAGCAATAGGATAGATCGATAATCGATGGTCGATATGCCGGTGCTCAGGGTCGATGGGGCTGGCGGATATCCCGCGATGACGGGTGGGCTGAGGTCTTCGGGCTCGGCGACAGATGGCTCCGGGTGGACGTTTTGACATCAGTTGGGCAGTTTCGTCTATTTCTCCGAAGTCCCACGTCGCTCCTTTTCCTTGGAAAGGGTTAGGGGTCTGTCGCCGGCCTCGTAGCTCCTTCTGCGGGTACTCCGTGTGGATTTTCCGTCGCCTCCATCGGCCCGACACCGGTGAGCAGGGAAAAGGGGTTAGGTGAGGGAAGGATTACGGGTTATCTTTAGGTGGGGACGTGGGGTGGGAAAGCGCAGCGATTGTAACGGGGGGGCACGAGTGTCACCACGTTACAATACAAATAC